TGCAATCCTTTGTGATTATATTTTGAGGTTTTTACTTTTGGCTGCTGTTCCTCTGGATTATTTTGTGTTTTTAATTTAGATCAATGTTTCTCAACCGAGGCAGCTTTAAAATGGGTGGACTTCAACTCCCAGAATTCCCCAGCAGGGAATTGAGAAACACTGATTTAGATTGTTGATAAGTGTTATATACTGTTCATCACTTAAAAATTGTTTTGGCAAAAAGAGGCAGCTATATAAATAGAAATAAATAAACATTTTAGCCAGTCCTGATAAAGGCATTGCCTAGGTAGCAGCTGGATTAAGTTTACTTGTTGGCTGAGCTCAATAAGCTGGATCAGAATTAGTTAATACCATATATATTTACATATAAGCTCATGTACATATAAGCCAACCCTTGGAAGTTTAACAAAAAAAAAAGTATTAAAAATGTGCCACCCACAGATAAGCCAACCAGCATTTTTTCATGGTATGCTGGTTAAAAATTTAAGGAGTCAGCTTATCTCTGAATGGGTTTATCCACGAATATATACAATATTTTTTCTTCCATTAAATCATGTCTGATTCTTGGAGACTACCTTCAGTTTTATTGGCAAGATTTTTCAGAAGTGGTTTGCCATTGCATCCTCCCTAGGGCTTAGAGAAAGTGACTGGACCCAGGTCACCCACCTGGTGTTGTGCCTAAGACAGGACTAGAACTCGTGGTCCCCAAGTTTCTACCCTGATGTCTTAATCCAGGGATCTTCAAACTTGGCCCTTTTATGACTTGTGGACTTCAACTCCCAGAATTCCTCAGCCAGTGTGCCTGGCTGAGGAATTCTGAGAGTTAACGTCCACAAGTCATAAAAGGGCCAAGTTTGAAGACCCCTGCCTTAACCACTACACAAAACTGGCTGTCAATACAGGATATAAGGCGACTTTTTAAAAGTATTACCATATAGCCTGATGGATAAGCCCACCCATGTTTTAGATTTTGTGATGTTTTTCCCCTCAGGGATCAATCCAGCTGTTTGCTTTTTTTGTTGTTGGCTGTAAAAAATTCATCTCCTCGCACAATGTGATGGGTATTGCTTTCCAAAGGAGTTATAAAAAAGAGAAATACAGGCAATCGTTGACTTACGACCAGAATTGTGATCAGAATTTTCATCATAAGTCAAAATGGACCTGATTTAATAACAATTTTTGCGACAGCCGTTAACCAAATCAGCTTCCCAATAGGTGTTTTTTGCAATTTTTGTTGGAAATTGGCAAAAAAAAAATGCAAAGGACCAGAGTGGCACCCCCGTTATCAATTTTCTTTTAAAATAAATGCACATACGGACTTGCTTAGTTCTTTGAAGATTGAAGAATTTCCCTTATAACAAATGCAAAGCAAGAAGGTGTCCCTAAGCATCGATGTAAACACCCATGTGTGCAAAAAGAAGGGGTAGAGTTACCATGTTGATTTTTTTTGACCACCATCACCTTGCAGACATTTCTGCTTTTCTTTCAGATGCTGGCACAGTGATGAATGCCAAGAGTGGGCGATAAAAGCAGGGTTTGTCTAGCACGGGGGTCTTCAAACTTGGCCCTTTTATGACTTGTGGACTTCAACTCCCAGAATTCCTCAGCCAGCGTGCCAGAATTCCACAGGTCATAAAAGGGCCAAGTCTGAAAACCCCTGATCTAGCAGATGCCTCTCTTTTTCAAAATTTTTCATCTTATTGCCACACTTTGGTAAAAGGGCACAGAAAAGGGGAACATTTAATTGTATTTGCGGCCTTTCCCATCCTGACCAAGCTACAGGAAGTGTATATTCAATTAGGATTTTTATTTTGATTGACTGATAAAACATGAATTACATCTGCTGGGCATTTGAGGGTAAAGAACCCAGTGGGATAAAAGTCAAATACATTACTTAACACACACATGCACAAACAAACATATACACAGGTTTTGGATTGGTTAAGCTTCCTGCTTTGCCACTGCCAGCTCATAGAAGTGAGGGCTTAACTTAACCTGGAACAACAGCCTCCTGAGTCAGTTACATTGCGTAAACACAACCATCATGTGGCAGAGAGTTCCAAAGGTTAGCTAAGATTGCATGAAAGCCGCCTTGCCCTATTCATTTGCTAGTCTGGAATCTTTTGTCTCTATATTCCCCTCCTTTTTGGATTGTTC